CAACCCCTGATGCCCTTTAAAAAGAAAGTTGGCTCCAGCTGAAGAACATCACCACAAAAGGTATGTGTTTGCACTAAGTCTGAAGGAACAATCCAAGAACACTGCTTCCTGAACCCCAACCTTTGGTGAAGAGACTAAGTAACTTGGTTCCCCAAATGACACAATTCCCTAATCTTGCCTTATCCAAGGGAGGAGAAATTTCCTGAGCAATAGCACTTTCAAGAGTTGCCTCCCGAGTAGCTATGGGTTTGAGATTTCCCATTCCAAGGCACCATGCCTTCTAGAGGATGAAGATTTCTTAAGACTTCTAGTTCAGATGGCAGTGTTAAAGCAAATAGAAGAAATTAGTTCATTTCATATATACTCTGACAATAACTAAAAGTAGAACACTCAATTTTTAATGGTAAAGAAATTAAAAGAGAATTAGTTGGTTCCTTCGAGCAGCTTCCACCAAGAATGCACAAAAAAACTTCCCTAAAACTCAACGATGGAAAAGAGAGCCCTCCAGGAAGCCAGCATGAGCTCAGGCAAAAAGGTAGGAAGATAATGGGAGAGTCCCCGGTAAGGGAAGCCCCAAGGGAGCAAAAGATCATAGCAGTGCCATAACTGGGGATAGCCAAATAAAGACCCCAGACCAGAGACAGTCTAGCCTTCCACCACCCTGATCTCAGGCATAAAAAGAGGAGGTAAAAACCCCTTACAGGAGCTACCAAAATCGAAATAAGGATCACATAACACATGACCATCCCATCTAAGAATGGAGGACACAGCAGAGCCTATCCTAGTACAAGGTTCCAGATCAGAAACTGAGGCTGGGGATAGGAATAACCAGGAGAATGACAGAAAGCTCAGAAGAAACATTATACATACAGAGATGCCCCAAAGTAAAACTAGAAGAGAGTAACCGGACAAGTACAGGTATAGGTAGATCCTCAGGAGGAAATTTCATCTTGGCTACAAGGACTATGGGAGTACCAGGAAGAAATGAAGAAAGACATACGTGTCAATGGCATGAGAGCCCTCAATGGGAAAATAAGTAGCTTGACAGAAGAATTTGAAAACTTTTACCAAGAAATCAAGAGAATCCTAAATAGGTAAATACAGCTGGCAAATTGGCAGAGGATCACAATGTCCCTCTGTTCCAGTAGGAGAAAAAGAAACCAGTGACTCCTCAAAATACAAATGTCTCAAAGAGTCACAGAAGCAGTAAAATAGATAAATAGAAGGATTGTGTGCGGTTTTCTGGTGTCCGTGGTTGGAAGGAAAGAAAGAGGGAAAGGGAATACACCAGGAAAGGAATGAGGAGAACAGTGTATTAGGGTATGTGACAAGATGCAAGCATGGAAGAAGGAACAGGGGGACATACATGACATGAATATCACTCTTATCTGACCTGGACAAGGAAGGGACAATCACAGTTCCATTGTACTGATCATATTCCTTCTCTTTTACAACTATCTTTTCTAATATAAAGAGGAGGTTGTGGGGAGGACCTCAGCCTCAGTTTCTCTGGGAAGGAAGTGGTGGATCACCAATCCAGGAACAGGAAGAACTGGTAGAGGAAATTAATGAAGAAAAAGGAAAGATAAGACAAACAAGACTTCTTGGAGGCCAGATCCAAGATACCCTTGGAACAGAGAGGGATGAAGAGGAGGGAATAAGTATTGCTTTGTCTGAGTGGTACCTTCCAAAAGGAAAATTCCCTGGTCTTTGTAGGATACCTAAATTGGTGCATATAGGATTGGAAGGAGAAGAGAAATGGCTGAAGAATTTCAGAGTGAGCTTTGATTAGATGATTCAATTCGACAGACTTTTGTAAAGCCTCTTTCAATTGTAAGGCTTTGTGACAGACACTGGAGATACAAAAATTAAAATGAAATTTTCTTGGTCCCTAATGGTGGAATATGACGTCTGTGCTTAGGGATCATACCAAGTAATGAGGCAAGAAGGGAAGTGAGCAATGAGGGGCAGCTAGGTGGTTCGGTGGATGGAGCACTGGCCTTGGAGTCAGGAGGACCTGAGTTCAAATCTGGCCTCAGACACTTAACACTTACTACCTGTGTGACTCTGGGCAAGTCACTTAACCCAAGAAAAAAAAAGGAAATGAGCAATGAGTCCAAGTGATCTAAGAATGGATGAAAGAAAACATTAATAGGCAGAGAAACCAGTGATGGAACCCAAAGATGTTGATATTTGAGTTCAACTTTTAAAAAAAAAAAAAGGTGAGGAAAGGATTCTGGGAAAATGGCAGAGTATGTCAGAAAATTCCAAGCTCTCAAGATTTTCCTCCACAAAAGAGATAAAATAGCACCACAGGGTGAGCACAGAGCAGTAAAATAAAGAAGAGTAGGGGCAGCACAGTGGTCTTCCTGGAACAATTGGAGAATATCTGAAGAAAAATCCCAGGAGGACATTTCCTCCCTGTGAAGAATAAACACCTCCAGGCTAGGGACAGCTTAAACAGCAAGCAGCGAGCCCTGGGGTTAGCTGGGGTGGGAGGCTGCCTAGGTCTCAGCCACAGGAACTTTTACCCTGGGACAGTGAGGGGAGTTGGCTGTCTGAGCTGGGGAAGATCCAGGGAACGTCTGCTGACAAGAAAAGCCAGATGCAGCTGTGCTGCAGAAACACAGCCAGGAGGTGAAAAGGAACCAGCACATGCCCAGTGAGTGCAGAAGCAGGGGGCAGACCCTGCTGGCTGGGGGCACTTATAGGAGGTTAGAGGTCTTGGATTGAGTTCCAGGTCAGAGAGGAAAACTGAAGGAGGATATGAGGCCAGAGGCACCATCCCTGATACCCCAGGACTAGAGGTGATTACAAAAACCAAGCTACTGCAAAAAAAAAATGCACAGGAAAAGGACAAAAAAATCCAACCATGGAGAGCTACTATGGGAATAGAGGAGACCAGGGTTCATCTTCAGAGGAGGATACTGAAGCAAAGAAACCCTCTTCTACCCCAAAGAGTCGCCTGTTAAACAGTCACCTGCCCAAAAAGAATTCATAGAAGAACTAAAAAAGAGAGACTTTTAGAATCAAATGAGAGAGATTGACAAAAAACTAAATTAAAAAAGAACAATCCAAGAAAAACAAGATTATGACAAGAAAGTCAACCAATTAGAAAAGGAGATCCAGAATTTTAAGGAAGAAAATGACTCCTTGAAAATCAGAATTGGGCAAGGGGAAGCCAGTAAAGTTATAGGAGATCAAGAAATAATAAAACAAAATATAAAGAATGAAAAAATAGAAGCAAGTGTGAAACATCTCATAAGAAAAACAACTGATCTGGAGAACAGATCAAGAAGAGAAAAAAAGAATGATCAGACTACCTGAAAGCTGTAATCAAAAAAAGAATCTTGATACAATAATACAAGAAATAATTAAAGATTGACCTGAAACACTAGAACAAGAAAGGAAAGTAGAAATAGAAAAAGTCCCCCAATCACCACATAAAAGAGATCTTATGAGGAAAACCCATGGAAAATTCTGAAACCCCCAGCTCAAGGATAAAATATTATGAGCAACAAGAAAAACAATTTACATATGGCAGTGCCACAATTAGAGCTATCACACAAGACTTAGCAGTGGCAACACTAAAAGACTGCAGGTCTTAGAACTCTATATATCAAAGAGCAAAAGAACTGGAGTTCCAGCTGAAAATATCAAACCCAGCAAAGCTAAGAATAACTTTGAGTGAAAAAAAAAAGAATCTATAAGGAATTGTCAGACTTTCAGGACTTTGTTTTTAAAAAATGCCTGAACTTAAGGTTCAAAACTTTTTATTCAAAACTTTAAAAGACTTGACACAGACAAAAAAAAAAAAAACAAGAGAAACATAAGGTACATACGAAACACCAGTTACAAGAGACTCAGTAAGGACAGAATGTTTACCTTTTATGTATGTAAAAGGTAAAATCTATGTCTAAAATAGTTATTAGTAATTGAGTAGTTCATAAGAAAGATTGGGGTAGACCTGAGCATGATATGACTTCAAAAAGTAAAAGCATTCAGGAACCACTAAGAGTACTTATCTTATACAAATGAAGTTCAAGAGAAAGAACCAACACCGAGCAATTAGATGGGGGAAAGGGTCTGGTAGTTCTGGAAACCTCCTTTCACTGGAAATAGGTTCAAGAGGGATGAATATATACATATATATATATATATATGCACATATATATATGTAGAAGAGTATAATAGTCTTCTAAATTTAAGAGAGAAATAAAACATTAAGGGGATAGAAAGGAAAGAGAGGATAAGGGAGGGATCTTTAGAGAGAGGGAGGTTGAGTAATAGCTGGGCAAGGTAGTGGCAAGTAATAAAGTAGAGGAGTCAGGAGGGGTAGGAAATAAATTTACACAAGTATAAAAACAAAGATTAGGAGCAGAAACTGTTAGGGAAAGCATCTGTGTGTGTGTATAGATGCGTATATAAGCATATGTATATGTACATATCTAAATCTATACATAAATATATCTATGCTTAATTATAGCCTTGGGGGGCGGGAGAAGAAGGAGGGGAAAAGAACAAAGAAATGTACAGCAGAGAACAAAAGAAAACTTACAAAGAAGCAAAAAATATATGGACAGCTCTCGACAGAATGTGTAGTATTTATTACGTAGGTTTTCTTTAAATGGAAGTTTATTGCTATATGTTTTGAATCCTTTCTTATGTTCTCCTGTGCACATGACATGCTTTTTTTTCTTTCTTATTTTATATTTAAGTTTTAACACTAAAGTTTATAATGTGTTTCTTTTTCCTTTCTTATTGTGTATTTGAGTTTTAGTATTTAAGTCTAAAATTAAAAAATATTTTCAAAAGAAAGATGAGGAAAATAAAGAGGGAATGCATTATAGGCAAGCCCATAGCTCACCATAGCACAGGAATTTGAGATCTTTCAATTCTTATTCCTTTGTGTGTATAAATTTACATACATACACACACACATACACACACATATATATATATATATGTATATACATATATATAAATGTATATATCCACCTTCCCCACACATTCACCACATGAAACCAACTGTTCAGAATGAGTAACATCTCATATCGGGGAAATTAAAATAATAATGTAATACCTAATAAAAACCAAATGGCATTTTCACAACTTTAGATCTTAATGGGCTTCGCCAGAAGGGATGTAGTTCTCTCATAGGTGTGTGCTTGTGGTCAGATCAGATGTACCACAGTCAATATAAAATAAGTCAGAAAGACAACTGGAATCCTTTCACCAGATAATCTACACAGAACAAATTAATATTATTTGTGTTTCTTCCTGCTCCTTGGACAAGAGGACAGGTCTATGTTTGGGCCTCAATGGAAGACCAGTGGCGTAGAATGTGAGTTCTGTGAAAAGCTTAGAAGATACTGCTTGCTTCTCACTTGGGGCCCCTCCACTAGGTAAAGGCCAATTCCTGGGGTCTTCAAACTTGGGTATAGGGGGCTCTTCATGAGACTTGGTGAACAGGCACTATTATGAGAAAGGGGAAAGGAAAAATTATGATCAAGTTATTGAGAAAAGAAAAATCCAGGAGGAAAAGTATGTGGGTATAGAGTGAGGGGAGAGTCAGTGAGAATGTTGAGACCAAAGATGAGACAGGGATAGGCTTAACACTGACATGCCTCAGTCTGTTTCCCCTTGGACAACTCTGTAGCTAAGGTGGAGAGAAGGTCCTGTCAGGTTCTGAGCTCCTGGTATCATCTCTTCCCCTGTCTCGCATCAATGATCCCTACCCATTTAATCATGGCTTCCTCTTGGGTAGATCCAAGTTGAGGGGAAGGATGCAGACATGCAAAGGGTGACACAGGAATCCTGAGAGGGAGTGGGGAGGGAAGAGGATGAGGGCTAAGGATGGTCTGCTAGGGTCAAAGCTCATCATACTCTCCCTGACTAGTGTGGAGGGCACAGGGTCACAGTGAGAGGTTAGCATTTGGGAAGCTGAGCTGTTTCCCTCCTGCTATACAACTCTTCATGTGAGGCAGTCAAGGGAGGAGAGAGACACAGAGACAGACAGACAGACAGAGAGAAGAGCAGTATAGGAATAACAAGGATCATGGCATTTCAAGCTAGAAGAGAATCTGGAGGACTCACCAATATGCAAACCAAGGCCCCAGGCTTCACCCCAATATCAGGAGATATTAGCAATGGCCTACAACCCACGGCGTTCACTCTTTCACCTCCAAACTCACCAGCCTGAGTGTAGCAATAGCCAAGGAAGGCCAAGACGAGAAGGAGGAAGAAGATGGAGCTGCGGCCAATGGTGATCAGAATACTTCTGCATGCTGAGTTGGGGCAGGGATGGTGAGTGTAGATCAGTCCTCAGACTCCAATGAACTCAGGAAATCCTTCCCCTTGCCCCTTTGCCCGTCCCGCAAGCATTCTCCTGACCATCATGACCAGTCCATCCTGCAACCTTCTATCGTAAGAGCTAGGTTTGGGCCTGGAGAGGTGAGGAGATATTGCCCCCAATTCTCTGAGTTCTATCTCATCTGCTCATACTTACCTGACACCTCAGAGGCAGCATCTTGCATTCCTAAAAAAAAAATGAATGAAGAAATGCAAATTACTGGGAAAGAATGAGAGACTGATGGGATAAATGCTCATATGTTTGCCCTGACATGCGTGGATCACATGGCCCCATAACCGAGAGGAGAAGCAAAGTCTCTCTTGTGGTTTTTCCCGTGGCTCAGAGCTCAAAGATGCTCTCTTAGGACTGGAGAGTCCCTGACCCAACCGCTGTCTTCTGAGGCACCTTGGCCATGTTTACTTAACCCTGAGATACACTTCTCACTCTCTGGACTTCTCTGCCTCACAGCCGGAGGGCTTCTCACCCTGAAGATACCTCTACATCTTCAAGCACCCTCTTCCCCCTGCTTTATGATTATATATGTGTGTATGTATATATGTATGTGCATTTGTATGTGTATTTGTGTGTCTATGTGTGTATGTGTGTTTGTATGTGTGTATGTGTGTATATATGCATATACACACATGCATGTGAACACATATACATACATATAACTTTTTCATATATGTCATTTTCACCTCCCTGAGAATAGGGATTGTCTTTTTAACTTCTCTTTGCATCCTCAATGTTTAGCACATAATAAGAACTAAATACTTTTCATTCTCTCTCTCTGTCTTTCTCTCTGTCTCTCTCTCTCTCTCTCTC